CGCCAAGTTGTGGCCAGTGCCGGAGGGCGACCCTGGGGCCCCCCGAGTAGGTCGCGGAGACTGGGGCAAGTAGCTTTTGCTCCCCCAACGCCAGCCGAGGCTGGGTGGACGCGCAGCCTTTAACCTCTCCGGCTCGGGGAAACAAGTTCATCCTGGGCGGAGGCGGCTGGACTGAGGCTGGCTGGGCAGCTCCAGGCCCCCAGCTCAGTCCGGTGGTCTTGGCGCATGTCCCCGCTCATTCCGGGCGTTCTGTTCTTTCCTGTTTACTTGTGTCCAGAAACGAGACAAGCTGGCTGGGGGTCTTCGCCATCCGCTCCCCGCCCCCCGGCCCGGCGGCCCCCCAGCTGGGCTCTTTGATGCTGCCTTGAAAAATGAGATGATTAATCAATTAGGTTAGTGGCCAATTAGGCATAACCTTGTAGAAAAATAATTATGCCCGCTCTCTAGGCTTTCGCTGGTGATGAGGTGGGAATGCAGCCCAGGTGGAGGGGCTGTTCCGAAAAGATAGGGTTGATTGGGGAATTTCTGGAAATTTAAGATTAACAAGATTCAAATGTGTGGTGGTGGCGGAGGTTGAGTGCGGTGGGGGTGTGTGTGTGTGTGTGTGTGTGTGTGTGAGAGAGAGAGAGAGAGAGAGAGAGAGAGAGAGAGAGAGAGAGAATCAATTTTTGTCAAGGAAGTTAACCCTTAACAAGGCGGCCTGGGTGGACTTGGCAGGCAGCATGTTTCCCACGGCTCCGGCTCCAGAAGGTGTGTCCCGGCTGCCAGCCCCACCCCCTCCTCTCTGAGGGGCTCTCGCTGTAAATCCCTCTCGGTGGCTTTGCCGCTGCTTTGGGAGGCTGAGTTGGATAGAATGCATTTTAGTTTCACGGCCGGGGAACCCTGTCGTGGCCGAAGGAGGTTTCGGTGCTATGCTTTCTGAGGACACATTTCTCCTCGTGTTAAATAAACCGCGATTAAATAGCAGGTGAAATAAAGCCCAGTCTCGGGCTGGGAAGTTCTGCAGCTGAGCAGGGCTTCCCTTCCCGTTTTTGGGAGTGACTGGCCGGTTTTGGCACTGCAGTGCTCCAGTACAGCCATATTAAAAGATCCTCAGAGCTGGAGCCCTCCACCACCGCAGCCCCGTCTTCAGCAGACTCCCCTGCTCCAGCCTGCTTTCCGGGAGCACTCAGCAGATGTCTGAGTGTTCCGTGTGCGTTTTAACCCCCTCTGGTCTCTATTTTAAGCTCCTCTTATCTATTTATACCTCCATACCCTACATAGTAGATTTTTGTCCAGGAGGCAAACACCTAAAGGTGTTCTCAGAGCAGAGGGATTTTTGCAACAGGTCCCAGGTCTGGGCTTTCTGCTAATGGGTCCCCCTGGCATTTGGCAGCCTGGGACCCCATCTCTTCTTTAGTGACCGATCAGGTTGGACCAGGGGCCTCCGAGATCCCCTGAAGTGCTGACTCTAGCTGGTTCTGAGTTTTATGGCTTGCCTTCCTTTTCGAGCTGAGCCGAGGAGCAGCTGAGCAGGGCAGTGTGACAGCAGCAGTGGCACCTCACTCGGGTGGGAAGGGATGGGACTGGCTGGCTGGGGCTTATTAGCTGCCTGGTGATGCTGGTGTCCAGGGACCACTGGAAGCCATGGGCTCCATCCGCCTTCCTCAAAATGAAGGGCCACCATTCAGCCCTTCTCTTTTCCAACATGATTTTTTCCTTGAATCTGGACTCAGTCATTCACCTTACTATGACCATATTTACCAGTCAGACACTTATACTAGCAAAGACCTTGCTCTGTGTCTAAAATTGAAGCTTTTTAATATAGTGCGAAGGGATA